CATGAGAGGGGGGAGGGTCAGAGGGAGAAGCAGACTCCCTGCTGAGCAGGGAGCCCGATGCAGGACTCGATCCCAGGACTCCAGGATCATGACCTGAGCCAAAGGCAGTTGCTTAACCAACTGAGCCACCCAGGAGCCCCTTTTTTTCATTTTTTAAAATTTAAATTCAATTACTTAACATATAATGTATTATTTGTTTCAGGGGTGGTACAGGTCTGTGATTCATCAGTCTTATTATATAATACCCAGTGCTTATTACAACACATACCCTCCCCAATGTCCATCACCCAGTTATCCCATCCCCCCACTCCCCTCCACTCCAGCAACCCTCCGTTTGTTTCCTAGGATTAAGAGTATCTTATGGTTTGTCTCCCTCTCTGGTTTCATCTTGTTTCATTTTTTTCTCTCTTCCCCTATAATCCTATGCCTTGTTTCTCAAATTCCACATATCAGTGAGATCATATGATAATTGTCTTTCTCTGATTGACTTATTTCACTTAGCATAATACCCTCTAGTTCTGTCCATGTCATTGCAATTGGCAAGATTTCATTTTTTGATGGCTGCATAATATTCCATTGTATACCACCTCTTCTTTATTCATTCATCTGTCTATGGACATCTGGGCTCTTGCCATAGTTTGGCTGTTGTGGACATTGTTGCTATAAACATTGGCAGGTGCCCCTTCGGAGCACTACATTTGTATCTTTGGGGTAAATACCCAGAGAGGGAACCCTCCTACCTTCTTTGGTGGGAATGCAAGTTGGTGCAGCCACTCTGGAAAACAGTATGGACGTTCTCAAAAAGTTGAAAATAGAGCTCCCTTACGACCCAGCAATTGCACTACTGGGTATTTATCTCATTGTAGTTTTGATTTGTATTTCCCTGATGATGAGTGATGCTGAGCATCTTTTCATATGTCTGTTGGCCATCTGTATGCCCAGACTTTTTTTTTAGTCAATGTTTGCTTAGATTTACCTATGTTGTTACTATATTCTTTGCTTATCACTCCTTCCTTAATATCTGATCTATCTAGTACTAACTCAGGCAGGCTGACTCCAGGAACCCAGGGGAGGGTCCCACAGAACCTATCAAGAGGGTCCTTGGCTTCACACAGGATAGAAATCAAATGTGAGCTGGAGAAAGTGAAAACAGTTTATTGAATAGGGTGACTGACAGAGAATAGCAGCAGATGGAACATCTGGGAGACTCGGAAAGGAAAGGAGAATGAGTCTCATCATTGCTTGGGGCTAGGCGTTTATATTGGAAAAGGGTCTAGGGTATGTGTTTCTTCAGGAATCCATGGTTGGGTCCAATCAAAGGTGAGTGTCAGGTGAACAATAGGTGTTATTCCATAAATTACTGAACATAGCGGTATTGATGCCACCAGGCGTCAGCTGAGATTTGTTTGAAGCTAATGTCCTGGAAAATGTTTGGGATCTGGCTCGTTTTAGGTGTTATCAGGTGTTTGGGGCCTAGGACAAAATTCAGAGAACAATTCATTTTCTTGCTTCCCCTTGAAGTGGGAACATACCTTCTTTGACTTATTCAGAGGCAAAATGTGGAACTTGAGTAAATGGGGCCTAGCAGACAAACAGCAGAGACGGAGCCTTTCTAAAATGGAGTGCCTTCAGCTTCCCTACTTCAGTATCATTTTGTTTTATAAATTCATCCTCAGTAAGTTCCTTTAGTGAGAGTTAAGTAATAATAATTCTCTCAATTTTTGTCTGGCATAGTCTAGCTGGAACCGCTTTATTATAGATTTTTAACTTGGGAATTCTCAAGTCACATAATTAGTATAAATCCTAGCCCTACTGTCCATCTGAAGTCTGGCCTGATTATGAATTTTCACCAGAAGTTTTTGGCATAAATATACTTACCTGAGTAAAGCTGAAAAAAGCAAACATATTTATGTTTGGGTGGGCAGGCGAGGGAGGGGGTGGGAATAGGGTTTGAGTTTTGTTTTTTCTTTTTTCTAGTTCACCTTTGCACTACAGATGTTTCTTTTCAGTGGCCTCAGCTTTATGTAGGAGTCTGTGACCTGACTTTTCACCTTGCTCTGTTAGTTGTCCCTGGCACTTCTAAGTCCTGTTAAAATTGCAGCTCTAGGTTTGGTGAGGCCTACAGAGATAGGGAGATGCCCCCAGGGCAGCGCCATCTTCAGTACTTACAAGGCTGTCTGAATTCCTGGCTCTTCACGATTTTGGCTTTTCCTTCACTTTCTTGCTGGCTCAGTGGTGCATTTAAAGGGCCTTTAAAAAAAAGACTTTTATCAAGTTATCAAGCATTTATAAGTGTTGCATATAAGGACAGCTTTTAAGGATCTATTCTGCAACTCGCCAGAACCAATGCATTCCATTCTTAATAACTTAAGCATGGTAGCCAGGAGGACTACTTTTTCCTCCATTTCTATAACTCCCCAAATTGCATGACCTTGGACAACCTCTGTAAATCTCAGTTTTCTGAGTTTCATCATGTAGGGGCTCTTTATTAGATCCCTCAAAAGAGAAATCTTCTCAAACTGGCATAACCTCCTTCTGGGAAGGGATTTAGCATATTTGATAAAACCCTTAAATTTCTGGTAAACTTTAATGAGATTAGATTTCTTGTGGGAAACATACTTGACTATCAGCTGAAAGACAGTCTACAGATAACTAACCATGCCATTTTTCTTTTGCTGTACACTATATATCCACTCTTTTTTTCCTGTAAAATACCTTTATCAAGAGTGGATCTTTGAATTGGCTTCCTGTAGGGTTTTTCTTCCAGCAACAAGACAGGACTAAAACTATGATATATGCTTATAACAGAATAGTCTAAAAAATTCTCATTAACAAATCTTTAATTTTCAAAAGAATTTAAATGAATCACCTTTATTTTCAACTTTCAGCTATAAGTTTAGAGGCACTATACACCAACCAGACTGCCTTATTTTCTACTGGTAATAAGATATTCATGAACTGCAAGGATATTCTATTACCTTCCAAAAGAACTTTTCCTGTTTAAAATTTTTGTGCAAATTGGAAAACAAAATGTAGCTTGAAAAGTTTAAATAGAAGTGTTAAGATCAGGCATAAGTTTGACTTGCATTTCCTGTTGATATGCAAATTTGGGGATTATTCTGGCCATGGCACCCCCCCAACATTCATTATTATGTTAATGAGAATAAATGTATTACATTTTTAATACATGGGACTCGCTATGAAGAAACTGAGGACTGGCTACATGGGGAAAAAAAAGAAAGGACTTTTCTAATTCCTTTTAGTTCACTGTTGATTGTGTAAGGTTGAAATAACATTTTGGTAATTTAGCTGAACAGTAATAAAAATTCAGCACTGGAGTGTTAGAAGGTCTAGGTTTTTCACACAATGAATTTTAGATCACCTATGTATGCTTCAGTCCTTTCTGTAAAATGAGGATACCAGTAACTCAGCATTTGAATCAAAATAAACAAGGTTCAGGGGCACCTGGCTGGCTAAGTCGGTAGAGCACAGGACTCTTGATCTTGGGGTTTGTAAGTTCAAGCCCCACGTTGGGTATAGAGATTACTTAAAAATAAAATCTTAAAAAAAGAGAGAGAATGAACTGGGTTCAACAGTTCACATTCCAGTTGAAACAGTTCCGGATGGTTTTAACTTAGCCAAGCTCTTTATGCTCATTTGTCGGGCAATTATGTCTGTATTTTAGGGTTGCGTGAGGATTAAGTGGTGTCTACCACAGGCACCAAGAAAGAGTAAAGCATAGGGATATGGAGAGAAGTACTCTTGAAGCCTTTATATTAGATTTATCTATATTAATCCAGTTATTTAATGATTGCTTTAACTTTTAAAAAACATCTCTCCATTGTATTCCATTTACTATTTCATTAGCAAGTATCACTTTTTCTCCTTGCCTTTCAGCTCTACCATGTAAAGAATGTAAAATCTGTCAGTCGCTTGATGTTAAAAACAGATAATTACAAGTTCAGGAAAAGTCACTTGTATTTCAGTATGACTTCCCCAGGGGGTGTGTGTGCGTGTCTCTGTGTTTGCAATTAGACATGATTCGAAAAAGGAAAGGGATCACTGTTAAAGCTACTCATATGTGCTTGGCATCGAATAACTGAACTAAAAATCATGTAAGCAAAACAACAACAAAACCAATAGGGAAGGTCTAGTTCTTCTGAGCTCCTTGACACTTACAGCTGCCAAAGGCAACTTTTATAAAGGAATCGCCTCTGTACAAAAAGTATTTTCTTTTTCTTAAAACTTCCTTGAGAAGGAATCGCACGTCTTATATGAAAATGGTGTGCTGCTTGGCTCCATTAAAATGACAAGGGTCCAGACACATAACTAATTTTATTTAGTAGGTAGAGCAGACACACCTTAGCCTATTTTTCCTGTGACTCTCTTCTCTCACTCCCCATCCCCAAGCCTTCAGATATACACATCACTAGATTCCCAAGAGTCAAGAGGTGGGAGTGGGGAGTTTCAGTACAGAATATAGCTCTTGACATCATTTTGGTCTGACCAAGAAAAAGAAAGGAAGAGAGGGAAAGCAAAGAGAGGAGGAGAAAGACAGGAAGAACGAAAAGGGGGAGAGGGGGTAATGAAAGAAAAGAAAGACAGAAAGAAAACAAAAAAGGGGAAGGGAGAGAACCTAAACAATGAGAAAGGAAGGAAGCTTGAATGGAGGGAGGAAAAGGAGCGAGAAAAAGAGCGAAAGAAGAATGTGAGAAGAGAATCATTTTTGTCTCAGGTTGACTAGGGAGAACAACGGAACCTTCATCAGCACTATACAATCTCGTAGAGGCAATATACTGTTTTCTTGAAAGCCCCGAGGCTAAGCAATTCCAAGAATATTTGGCAAAGCCCTTTTGGGAAGGGTGAGGTGGAGAGGGGGGTGGGTGCTTTCTCGCACACTCGCACACCCGGCCCCCACACAAGATGTGACAGGGTTCGGGAGACCTAGAGGAAACCTTCAGGTCACCCGGGGAACTGCTCCTCTCGCTCGTCCTGCGGCGGTGAGGCGGGGGGGTGAGGGCGCCGAGACGCGCGGGGCGCGGAGATGTGCAAGTGGCGAAGCTTGACCGAGCGCAGGCGGGAGCAGCCGCCCAACTCCCGGCGCGGGATCTGCTGAGAGGCCACGGTGAGTCTCTCCGGGTGCGGGTCCGAGGGATGCCCGGTTCCCCCTCGCTCCCCGCCGGGCCCCGGCCGCCGCGGGGCCCGGAACGTCCCCGGAGTCCCGCCTTGGCTCGGCGCCGCCGCCCGCAGCCCGGAGCCCGCGCCGCTCGGGGCGCGCTGGGGCGGACGCACGGACCGACCCGCGCTCGGCGGGGCTCCCCACGTCCGGCCCCGCACGCTCATTGGTCGGGATGTGTCTGCTCAGCAGCCTCCAACTTCTCCCGAATCCCACTGGTGAGTCCTGGGAGAGCGAGCCAGCACCTGGGAGCTGGGGAGAAGGGTCCGAAGGGCGCGAGAGCGCGAGAGCGCGAGAGCGCGAGAGCGCGGGCTGTGGGAGCCGATGGGACTGGGACGGGCACGGGGCGGGCACAGCCGACCGAGGGGAGCGGCTGCCCGGGAGGCGCGCGGAGCAGGGACGGCGGCGCGGGTCCTGCGCGACCGAGCGCCCGGGACCCTGCGGCCGTGGGCGAGGGAGGCGTGCCCTAGGAAGGAGCCGCAACTAGAACCTGAAGAGTGAGGGAAAGGGGCAAAGAGGGTGACCTGGGAGGAGGGCTCTGCGAGTGATGTCGGGTCGACTCCTCAGGTTCCTTGCCACAGCTCCCTGCAGCCTCTGCCTCGGGGAGTTAGGTTTGGTCGCGGACATCAGCGCTACCGAATTGCAGGGGGACTGATTTGGGGGCTGGGAATTTGCCAATCCGCTGCACAGACACTGATTTTTTTTTTCCTCTTTAAAGCAAGGTTTGTTTTCATTTTGGTCTCTATCGGATTCTCTCCTCATTTGTAACTCACTTTTCTATTTTTACTTTTCCTAACCTGAAGATCCTTTCGTTATCCCACCTCTTCATCTTGCCTTAACCTTAGTTTCCTATTATATAATTTATGCTGAGAGCGTGCTTGAATCACGGAGGGTTGGTTGGCGGGAGTAGAGGGGAGTTCCTTTGTAGATGAGTTTCCTTACCTAATCGGTCTCATTCTATTTGTATTATTTGGAAACAAGGGTAATTGCAACCAAACGTTCTTCTTTAGCCACTTGATTGAGTCTGTTCCTCCCCCATAGGTGATGCAGACGGTAATTTTATTAAACTGAAAAGTAGTACCTGACTTGCAATGTCAGCATTTAGAACCTGCTAATCGGCAGATCGGCTTTGAAGGCTTGCAGCGTCTTCACTCTCTGGCATTATTTCTGGGTTCCAGCACATACAGAAATTTGTCCGATACTTTCTTGAACTCGATGCTGTGACTTTTATTGAATAGCTACACTGCCTATGGGAGTAATGTGCTTGGTAGTTTGTGTCCAGAACTCCGTATCCCAGGCCCGGGGAACACCTGCAAATTAATGTCCTGGCAAAAAAAGGGAGATGATTTCTCTTGAATACCTGCCTCCTCAGCTTCTGCAGCCACAGCCTAAATATGGAACCTGTTTCTCCTGCTTCCTGTGCCTCAGTTTCTCTAATACAAACTGTTTCAGTAGTGTACCCTCAGGGGCTTGCAGAAATGCTAAAGTGGTCAAGTGCTGCGAAGATGAAAATCGCTTTGGTTTATAGACTTCCCTGTAACAAAACGGTTATCCTGTAGGGTCTTTGATTTGACTCTATCGTGAAGTGATGCCTATTCTCAACTGGTGTAAGAATTGCTGCGTTATATTGCTTTGAAATGCAGTTTCTACTTAAGCAAAATAATCATTTATTCTTTCGGTGATGTTGTTAAGCTGAAGTTCACAGATTTCTTGTTGGGTTAGAGCTTCTAGAACTCTGTCCTCTCCTGTGGAAGTGTCTACTTTTTGGTTTAAGCTTTTCTGACCATATCTCTAAATTGAGATGCAGTATTTTAAACGTGTTAGGCATTTTTTTAATGGCGTTTTACCTTATATGGAACTGTAAGTACCAACTTCATAATTTATTTTGTATTCTTTTGTGTAATTTCTCCCTTCCCTGCCTTCCCTAAAATGGGTTTGGGTGTGGTTGAAGTGGATATTCCAGTGGCTGGGAGTTGGTGATATGTTCCATCCTGATGTTCGAGATTCTGACCCCTGTTTTCTTACAAGAAAATAGTGAATCTACCACAGGTATCTGGACATGAGTGACAAAGTTAACTAGGAAGTTACACTGGCATCATTTCTGTTTTTGCTCAGTGTGGTTCAAAAGTGCTACTTAGGAGCAAAAGACTAAAATTTTGCAGAGCATTTACAAGAGGGGCAGATGGGGAGTTTGCAGGTGATTCAAAGATGATATCCTTTTGATGCCAGTAAAAGAACTAACAGCTTTAGTCGCTGCCTTTATTTCCCTATAACAGTTTCTGCAGGCTTAGGTGCACAGCTATTGAGAGCCCAGCTGCCTCTGTACCCCCATCTCAAGGGCAAGGAAGAGAAGTGAGGAAAAAGTCACCCAGCAGGGAGAAAGAAAGACATGCCTGCCTACTAGTTTTCTTGCTAGTTGGAAGCCTGGTGGTGCCAAAGAGCACCTTTAATTTAACCCTGTGGCTGCCCTGATTCCTAGCTCTAGACAAACTGATTGTTGTTTCTAAGAACTAAAAAGAGAAGTGGGTCATATTATTTCAGAAATGCTTTTCTCTAGATTGTCTTCTGAAACATTAGAGCAGGAGGACAAATGCTCCAGAAAGGGAAATGTGATTAATATTCAGATGCTCTTTAGGTCACTCTTGAATTCTTCTGGGGAAACTGGGAAAATACAGTGTCCAAGTACTAAATTCGGTTCCATCTTTTCTTTCCCCAATCACCATCCCTATTAAAACTCCAAGGACCACGATCAATGCAATTCTATATCATAACCTCAGGGGCTGTGAGACTAAGCCAACATGAGTTACATAACCATTAAGTAAGACATTTTAACCTTCAGGTACATTACATTCCACTTTTATTGAGCAGACACAGTTTTCATGGTCTAATAAAATATTTTTATTTGATAGTCTGGCTTGGTTATAGCCTCGTGTAATCAAGAGAACAGCATGCTTAAGATTTTGTATCCAGAACTCTAAAGTCCAGTTGTTGTTCACTTATTAATAACTCACTGGGGAGATTAAATTCCTAGTTATTAGCGGGATCCCCCAGGCCACACTTCAAATATAGACTCTATTTCGACTTTATCCTGTGCCTCAGTTTCCACAAAACACACTCTCAGGAAACTGTGGGTATTCAACAAAGATCTTTAAGAGTATTTCTGAGTGGTCGCTTCATCTAGGAACTAAATTATACGCTTAATTTGTATCAAGCTATAAACAGCTAGTCTGTTAGTTTACGATGCTCTTTTCTACAGTCATGCAGAAAAATTGAAGTCTGAGTTTTGGTGGATGGTCGATAAAAAATCATGAGGCCTCTAAAAGAAACATAATGAAATTTAATATTTAAGCTTACATCCCCTCGATTTCCCTTCCCCTCCCCAAAACTTTTGCAATAAGATCTAAAATAGCTTTTATTGTGTGATGATATATTTTTATTTCTAGCAGTGACCAAATGTGTTCTTTTTAAAGGACATTTACTAGTTGTGTAGTTGGGCAAATTACCTGAATTTTCTGTGCCCCAGTTTCCTAAAGTACAGAATTGGAATATTAATACCCACCTTACAAAGATTAAATCAGTTAGTACGTGTAAAGCACTAAGAACTAGTGACTAACACATGGGACGTACTCAATAAATGTCAGCTAGTATTAGTAGAAGTATTAATATTAATTTAAATACAAATTAAATAAGTATCTTAACAATAGTTACCCTGACCTGCAGGGTAGAATTTTTTTTAATCATATATTTTTCCTTCTTCAGTTGCACAAGAAACATTGATTAAGGTTAATATCTTTCATCCCTGGGTGTAAACCACTGACTTTTGACTTAGTGACTGACCATTTTCAGAATGTTGTCTAACCAGTTAATATATACCCACATCAGCAGTAGCTGTAATTTTGAACTGTAAAAATAAAAGTTGTTTTTAAGACTAAAAATTAACTATCACAAGTGTTTGTTCCTTTTTGTTTTTATCTGTATTCGTGTTTCAAATTATTGCTTAGTCAAAACCTCAAAGCATTAGTCATTGATTTCCATGCTTATAAAGGAAGCCACTGGTACAAGATATAAAATTCACCTTTGACGTTGTCCAAAGTTCAGAAAGGTGAGTTTAAAACTTTGCTGTATGATGGTGCAGCAATTATTTGCTTATGAACTGCTGAAGGAATCCTATGTGAGTATTACCCGAGTCTTCTTGTCTAATTTTGTTTGGGTCTTCAGTGATATATCAAAAAAGAAGGGAAGAAAGAAAGGAAGAAAGAGAGAGAGAGAGACAAAGAAAGAAAAGGAGGAAGAAATAAAGGTTGTGACTTGTCATGTCAGATTCAGTGGCTCTGTACTCTTTGTTTTCAGAATCAAAATTCTGACTTTCAACAACAACAACTACAATTTATTTCTATTTAAAATGAATTAACCTGTTACTTTTATTTAGCTGCATTAAGCATTTGGAAAATTGTACATACTTTTCCTCTTCTTATTTATTAATTTGTTATTATTAGTATTTAAAGATTTAAAAAAAAATTTTTTTACAGATTTTAGGTGATGGGCAGATCAGAAAGTCAGATGGATATAACTGATATCAGCACTCCAAGGCCAAAGAAACAACGATGGACCCCACTGGAGATCAGTCTCTCCGTCCTTGTCCTGCTCCTTACCATCATCGCTGTGACGATGATCGCACTCTATGCAACCTATGATGGTGAGTTACTCCCACACCTGTGCACACATCCATGCACAAGAGAGTGGAATCTTCATTTTATGCTTTTTTTATCTGCCAAACGAATGTGTTAAGGAGAGGGACACTTAAGGATAGTGGCATAAAGATTCCTTTATAAAATGTAACATCAATATGTCAAAACAATTAACTCTGACTAAAGTACAACGTCTTTTATGTTTCAGCTAAGTTATTAATTGCCAAGCGTATTTAGTGCACTCATGCTTATTTTTAATTTTATTTGATTAAAGTGTACACAATTGGGGCGCCTGGGTGGCTCAGTCGGTTAAGCGGCTGCCTTCGGCTCAGGTCATGATCCTGGAGTCCTGGGATCGAGCCCCGCGTCGGGGTCCCTGCTCAACGGGGAGTCTGCTTCTCCCTCTCCCTCTGCCTGCCTCTCTGCCTACTTATGCTCTCTATCTGTCAAATAAATAAATAAAATCTTTAAAGTGTACACAATTTTATGGCCAACCTCAATTCGTGAAATTTGTTGTGTCATTGAAATTCTAAAAGGCTTCACAGGAATCTAAGAGGTCTAATTTAAGTCTTGGAAGTTTTTCACAGTAAGGATTAGAAAAGATTGGTTCCTTAACAGGAAAAAAAAGATTACCAGACTAAAACGACTGATTATTTCAATTTAATAGACCTTAGTGTGTAGAGATGATACTGCTGAATGCACTGCTTTCTTCATAAGAAAAAATTTAAATTTAGGATTTGCCTACTTTATTTCTGTATTTTTTTTCTAGCTATTGACAATGATATAAAATACTCAGGTTTTAGCTCTTCCTTTAAGGAATTGATTATTTACTTGGCAGTTTTTTTTGTTTTTTTTTTTAAAGATTTTATTTATTTATTTGACAGAGAGAGACACAGCGAGAGAGGGAACACAAGCAGGGGGAGTGGGAGAGGGTGAAGCAGGCTTCCCGTGGAGCAGGGAGCCCGATGTGGGGCTCGAACCCGACGCTGGGATCATGACCTGAGCCAAAGGCAGACGCTTAACGACTGAGCCACCCAGGCGCCCCTACTTGGCAGTTTTTAAAAGAACAAAAGATAGGGAGAAATTAGAAGACTGTACTGCAAATATTTACACATATACCCTTCTTTTTCTAGATGGTATTTGTAAGTCGTCAGACTGCATAAAATCAGGTAAGAAGATGGTTTTTAAATTTAATAGTTTTACAAGTAATGCATAACATTTAAAAATCAAATGCTAATAGGCAACCATCCCTACATTTTCTTTGTACTTTTATTTATACTTTTATTCCTTATACCTCATTTATTTATAGTAGAGGAAAATCTAAATGTATTAAAGTAGTAGATTAATTAGCTAGTTTATTCTAAAAAAGAATTCAGTCTTTTCATACCTGGAGTGTTTAGTAGGGTGATAGAGAACTATATCTCTAGCTTTATGGAGCTTGCCATATAGTTGGAGAAAGAAAATCAACACACTGAAATGGTGAGCATTGTATCATTATGTTACTTTCTCGATGCAGGTCATGAGAGGGGTAAGAACTAAGGAGGGAGTGAAATGTAGTCTGTAAGGCTAGATGGAGAAGTGAAGATTTGGGAGGGGCCTTGAAACAGGGCTAGGGTTTGGAAGTGGAGGTACAGAAGAGGGGATGCCATACAGCGAGAAAGAGCAACAGGAATAAGTCATGTTGTTGAGAAGCAGTGAATGTGTATCTTGATAAATAGGGACACATTGTGGAGAGCTTTGAAAATCCATGTGTTAGCCTTGATGTTGTAGTGAAGGAGAAATGGCTATTTTACAGAACAGATCACTCACTAAGGCAAAAGCTGAACAATGATTCCAGGACTGCGGGGTTGGGTGGGTTGAGTGCGAAGCCGTGAGCCAGAGAGGGTGGGCCGGTGGGGGCCGCTGTAATGCAGGTGTGCATTGAAGAGCCAGCCTGCGGTGGGATGAGAGAGTTATGTGACAACATGAGGGGAGAATGGGATGGCTCAGTGGAATGGACTTACTCAATGAAGGACATGAAGGATTTGAAAATGAGGCCAAATTTGAAAATCTAAGGACTCAGGAGAATGGTGGCAATGTGCACAGAAATAGAGAAGTTAGGAGGTAAGTTTGTTTTAGGGAGAGATGTGATTAATATGGATTTGGACATGTGGGGTCTGAGCCAGGGGTTACATGCAAGTGGGGAGAGACAGCAGAAAAGTAGAGACGGAGTGTAAGAAGATCTCTCATGCAGTGCATTTAGGATCTGTCCAGGGGTGATAGGTGAAGCCTTGGGGGTATTTGAGTTCCCAAAATGGAGATGAGCTATAAGGGCCAAACTTAAGAAGACACTGAGAATTAGAGTGGAAGGAAAAGAAAAGTCAGAGAAAGGAACAGAGAAAGTGTGTGGAGTTATAAGATGTCACATCAATTAGAGTGTGGTGCAAAAGAGAACATTTTGACAAGAAGAAAGTTCGCAGCTGAGCACAACACCCTGGGATATGAATACAGTATTTATATCTTGTCTCCTTTGGCAGGAGATTCTAAACCTCCTTCCTAATGTTTACATTTCTTCCAAGAAATAACCTGTCCCAAATGATTTTGAACCATTTGAACCATTTAGATGGTTTTATCTGGGCTTTTGCTATTCACCGACCTTTGCAAAATAATGATAAGAAAATATCTCGGGATTTTAGGTGATAGTCATGATCTGAATGTTTGCCCTTTGTTTTTCTGTATTGTTTTTTGATATTTTCATTGCTATAGTCATTCTGGATCTCATGTGCACTGGCAGGACACCTAAGACACGATATGGGTGGCTGGAGGGAGGCCTGATTGGGACATCAGCCATTGGCTGCTCAACATACTAACAGGGACTTGCCCATCCAAGGGCTTTCCCAGAACAAGAGCAGTTTCTTTATTCCCCAGGAAATGGCTGCACAGATACCCTGGCTGGGAGATGTCCAGGGTCACTGTGCCAGAATCGGTATGGGCCCAAGTTGTCAGTTACCATTTGCTCCTCCCCCAAATCCTGCCCCACTTTTCTCTCTACCTGCTGCTTTTATTATATGCTCATGACCTATCCTGTTTCAAGAAACTCCTGCTTACATATCAACCTCTAATTGTCTCCAAGTTTCTCTGTCCTTAATATACTTGACATGTTTTTTAAGTCTCTTAGTCTATAGATTCTCTCTCGCACTTTCTCTCTTTCTCACTCCGTTTTTCTCTTTCTTTTTTATTTTGTTTTTGAAGAAACGGAATCCTTTCCCTAGTTAGGCATAGAGATCTAGGTAGGTTCCTCTAGTGGTAGCTACCCCAATTAGCAATGTGATATCTGGAATCTGGAATCTCAGATGTGACTTACTGCTTAGGGGTGGGGCTCTGGCCTTTTTTAATAGTGTTTGGCAAATCTCAATTCATTAAGACATGTTTGACATGTATCCTTTAATTGTAGGTTAGAAATCATACCAAATGTAAAACACTTGCAAAACTCTTTCTTGGCAGAGAAATGTATACTATAGAAATAGTGTCAGTGGTAAACAAAGTTGCTGAATAACTCTGTTTTTATCCAGCTCTGTTTGTTTACAAGCTGCTAGAATACTTTCATGTTTACTACTCTTCCTGGGAGAAAAAATAAAGATGAAACTCACTCTCATGGATACAGTATTCACACTCGTGCCTGTTCACACACCCACAGTCCCCTGCTGGTTAGTAAACTTTTTCTGCTATAAAAGATACAACTACTGTTTTTAGAAGTTGCTGCAAATTAACAAAATTCTAGGGGAATTGTTGGGCAGAAGAAAGTATGAAAGAAAGGGAATGAGCAGAGTCCAGTAGATGGAAAGGAAGAGAAAGACGGGAAAAAAGGATGTTGAAAAGAATATGAAGTCTCCTACTGACAATTCTAGATGACTTTAAAAGACCGGGGGAATTCAAACCTAAGCACAGAAATCCTTGAGAATTGGAAAATAGGTATTGCTAGACAAGGTGCTTATTTTCAGTGAAAGTTGGTTCTAACTTAAATCTTTCTCTGGGTGGATAAGGATGTCATGGCAAGTGATCATTGAGCTGCACAGGCTCCCAGAGACCCAGCTGCCCGCAAAGGGCTGATGTGGACATAATTGGAAACATTGGTCATGACACCCAGGTTTTGACTGAAATGTCACATTTGAGAGAAAAATGCATAGACTCAGGTATGACCATACATCTTTAAGGAGCTAAAGTTGACTTTATGGAGCCAATAAAGCTCTTGAAAAAACAGCCTGATACCTTGCTTACAAGATTCCTAGCAGCCTAACCAGCCCTGTAAACTGAATATGAATGACCTGATGGGAAATCACCACAAGAGCTCACATATAGACAGTCTATGTGCCTCTTGCTCTCTGGGCCACTCAGAAGGATCACCGGACACATTTAAATTACAAACGAGGGGCTGCCTGGCTGGCTCAGTCGGTAGAGCATGTGACTCTTGATCTTGGGGTTGTGAGTTAGAGCTCCACATTGGGGGTAGAGTTAGCTTAATAAATAAATAAATAAATTACAAGCCAGGGGAAAACAAAACCAAAAACTCTTTGATTCTTTGAAGTCAAGTCATACTGAAGCAAAAATGAAATGTTGTAGAAGGCTGTGGAGCATCTTGAAATGTATTTGGTGTTAGGTACTTTAAATCTGAGCATCTGTAAATTTAAATATTTATAATATACACAAATGATGTTTACAATACATACTTAAAGATAATTTGCCTGTGTATGAAATGTATCAGTTTGAAAGATTACACCAAACCTAAAATAAAACAAACACTACTTAACAAATAACAAGTTAAAGCAGTGTTCAAAACCCTACTATTAAAGCATGAGTAATATTATTCATCTCTTATTTACCCTACAAGATTGTCAAAAATATGGAGTTATAGAGCTTGCTTGTGATTCCTCAAACTTCTCCATGTAAATCTAAATCCTGAAACTGGCTTCCTGTGCATTGCAACCTTACTAACTCAGAAGATTTCAAGGAATCACATGCTTTAAATCAGGGCTTCTCAACTTCATCACTGTTGACCTTTTGGCCCGGATAATTCTTTGTTGGGGGAGGGGGCTGTCCCGTGCATTATAGGATGTTTAGTGGCATCCCTGGCCTTTTACCCACTAGATGTCTAGTACCATTCCCCTCCCAACTCAAGACAACCAAAAAATGTCTCCAGACATTGCTATGGTCCCCTTGGGACAGTAGAATCACCTCCAACTAGGTACCACTGGCTTGAATGATCTCAAGAGATCATCCAGTGCCTTTCCCATTGTTGTGGAATAATGCCTCCCTAAAGATACCCACTTCCTATCCTCAGATCCTGTGAATATGTTACCTTATTTGGAAAAAGGGGACTTTGCAAATCTGATTTAGGATCTTGAAATGGGGAGATCATCCTGAATTATTTGGGCGGCCTTATGTAATCACAAGCATTCTTTTAAGGGGAAGGGAGCAGGAGGGTTAGAAACAGAGAAGGAAACACAACCACAGAAGAGCAGGAAGCAGAGGTTGGAGTGAGGCAGCCACAAGCCAAGGGATGTGTGCAGCCTCGAGAAGCTGGAAAGGGGAAGGAATGGTTCTCCATTGTAGCATCCAGAACGAATGCAGCATTGATAACTTTTTTAGAGCTCTATGATAGTAAATTTCTGCTGTTTTAAGCCAGTAAGTTTGTGGTAATTTGTTAGAGCAGTGAGAGGGACCTAAGACACCCTCCATACTTACTTATTTTAAGGCTATCTCTGAAGAATTCAAACATGCACACACATACACACACGTGTTTCCCATCAAGCTGCCCCTTCATTACTAAATTGAGGGGTGTAATACAGAGATATAGGGAAGGAATGTTAAATAGATTTGTAGAGGAGTATAATAATAGAATACAGGTGAATAATAATAGAATATAATACAATAAAATAATAATAGTTAACAGTGAATATTTATGTGTCCAGCACTACTGTAAAAAGTTTATATGTATTAACACATTTGATTCTTATAATGACCCTGTGAGGTAGGTACCTTTATATCTTATTTTTACAGATGATCAAACTTGGGCTAGGATTCCAACCCAGGCAGTCTGGTTCTGGAACTTATACTCATGACCACTTCTCCATGTTGCCTCAAAGGAGACTAGAGTCTATCCAACTTTTAGTACCCTATGTCTGTACATATG